CACTGGCCTTGTGCCTATCAGCACTTTGGCAGAAACCAACAAACCTTAATCATGTATATTCTGCAATCTACTGTCAAGATAATCAACAGAAAAAATTAAAGCCTCTGCAGGGTCTTTTAAACATGTACCCATTCACCTACTGTTGTAATCATTACAGGTAATCAGAAATGTGAAACACTAAAAATCTTTAAAGGTGTGGCAATCAACACGTGTGATGCAACCTACTGGTGGGTCATGATGTATCTTTTCTTTTGCAATGTGGCACAAAGGTGGATTGATTTTTTTCTTTTTTTTCTGTGTGTGTGTGTGTGTGTGTGTGTGTGTGTGTGTGTGTGTGTGTGTGTGTGTGTGTGTGTGTGTGTGTGTGTGTGTGTGTGTGTGTGTGTGTGTGTGTGTGTGTGTGTGTGTGTGTGTGTGTGTGTGTGTGTGTGTGTGTGTGAGCACAGATACAATAATATAACTTGCTTCATATCAAAACAATCAACACAAATTTAGTACAAAGACCACAACCATCTTTTTTTTCAGTCTAGTGATAGCAAACCTTTTATCTTTTTGAAATCTTTCATTTCAATATATTACACAATAATACTAATATGGTGCTAACATTCTGGAAGCACAAACTACAGCCAAGGAACAGCCCACTTCTACCCACACCTAACAACATGCACCTCTTCTTATGCTGACGGCACAGGAAAATCTTAACTTTCTTTCACAATCGTGGGGAGTCTACATTATTACCAAAAGCACTGAACGTGTTAATATCAATCCAATTTACACTACAATACGAACAAAAAATCCTTTTATGCTTACACAGGCATTACATCGTTAATAATCACGGGATGAATTTAAAACAATAAGCATAGCTTTCTGCACTTACATTAGAATCCTCTATTTCTTTATTCCTTCCCCTGTTTTTCATTTCATTTCTTACCAACTTCAGGAAAATACTAGTCATTTTCCACAATAATTTAAATAAATACAAGTCATTCTCTGAAATAATCTAAATAAACACTAGTCATTCTCCACAATAATTCGATTTCTGGAAAAAAATTCTAAAATGCTGACTAAAAAAATTATAAATAACTTTGCTTGTTTTTGGAAGCATACAATATTTTCCTGCAAGTTTTTCCTATATATCCCACTGAAATATAAAGCCAGTCTATTGACTAAATTTCGGAGATACGAATCAAATCCACTGACTAAATTCTTTCCTCCTTATGATTACATTAGATTTTGTTGTCATTGTTTCATTTTATGTGGTCTACTATATTTTTTTTGCTAATTCATCATGTATATAATTAACTACTTTTCCTATATGTCTGACAAGTTGTAGGCCTAATGAAATACATGAATCATCCCCTTGTCTGTGAGCATGTTTTGTGATGGAAAGGAAAACAAGAAAGCGAGGACCCAATGCCTTCTTACGAGCGAGATGTCTGTGATTGCGCTGCGTCTCTAAACTCCGAAAATGAAAGGGGTGATGGCTTTCTTGCAGCCTCGGAATGAGCGACGGATGTGATTTACTAGAATAGGCTGCGTTCCGTTGAGATCTCAGTGTAATGCAGGATTTTTTTTCCTGGACGGACCTGACATCTGGCCTTGGCTGGCGAGAGGCCTAACGATTCGTGATGCAATTAGGGCCGTACAAAGTCGTGGAGGACTTACCTGCAACGTAATTAAGAAGGCGAACCCTCCTTATTTGTGGGCGACCATGTATTCCTGAGCAATAGTTGGGGCAAGAGCGAATATTGGTTCTGAAAGAATAAGTTGTCGCCCGAGGAACTCTCTCCAACGTCCACACTACTCCTTCCTCGGTCGTTTCTCGTGGCTCTGGTTCCCTTCCGCGCTTGTCACAGTTCCTGCTGCTTTCCACACAGCGTAAGGCGTATTCTCCCGTAATTAAAGGGCCGTTGGGAGCTGGAATATTCCCGAAATAAGCCAGATAACGGAAGTGGTTCGCACAAACAGGTCCAACTGAGTCAACACTATACGATTCCGATCTGATGGCAATAGATTCAGATTCTTCACTAGGAACCGCAGCGAGGGATTGGCGAGGCTCTTATGTTTATTGCGTGAAAATTAAGAGCTTTACGTCTTTATGCTCTTTTCGTCATTTATTTATCTCTCAACACTGATTTTACCTGTATAAAATCCCTCAGTAAGCACTGTCAAACCTCAGTAAATAAAGCGAGATCTTTTGTCTGAGGTTCAGGCATCCAGGTCTACAGCCCGAGCGCCTGAAGGAAGCGTAGGAGGAGAGGGCGGAGAACGTGGGATCATAGACGCGAGACCCGGCCGTCCTGCAGACGATCCTCCTCACGTAAACAAACCGAGGGAGGAACGGACGAGGCCTAAAGACATTGCCTAGGCCTACGGACCTTGCCTAGGCCTACGTGCCAGCCCTCAGGTAGTCAGACTCTTCCTTGGTGTTCAAGGAAACAAGGACGGGACGGATCATGACAGGACTTTATTGTGGTTGGTCCCGAGGCGTAAATGAGACCGAATGGGGAGTGATTGAATGAGAAAGGGAATGATGGATTACAATGGGAATGGAGAAAAGAAACAGGAATTGATGGGAATGGGAATGGAAAATCGTTGAATGACAGATCGGAGATGGTATTGGTATCACTCGACAGTAATGTGAAGGGGAATTGCAGGTGCCACAGGTTTTGCACAGCGAGCCACTTATTTCAGGCATTTTCCAAAGAAAGACCAGCGTTTGGTAAGGTATTGGGCATTCAGGGTAGAGGCTTAATGCATATCTTGCTTTTTGGGAGGATTTGGTGCACAGATAGTATCAAGTCTTTTGTTCAGTGGAAGCTGTGTTCTAAAGACAGATTTAGATGATTTTTATCCATACTGATGAGTGTTAATGCCTGATATTCCTTTTGATCCCGACAATCAGGGAAATAGTCCATTCTTCACACCATCTTGCATGACAGCCACATTACCGTTGTAGCACATATATATAGAAAATATTTGTGAAAAATGCTAGACAATAGATATTATTAAAATGAAAGGAGAGGACAACCATTAATGTGCTGTCATTAATCCAAAGGTGGCAAGAAGTCATAGAAGCACCTGCCTTCGTACTGGGACTAATGTTGAGGATATCAATATGAGATGAAGGTTAAAAGTTTAGGGACAATATATTTTCCTTGAAGTCTTTCATTTTAGAGAAGCTGACTATTTGTTTAATGAAGACATAGAAAAACAAAGGCTTACGTCAAATTAGGAAGGCTGTATAGAACTACAGTGCCTTCAGTCTGGATACGTATGAGGATGATAATATTTCACCCATAATTTGAGTAATGTTATTTTTTCCCCATGTTTATGATTTTTATACATTAATAGATGTTAGTATATGTTCAGAAAAATTAAACTATTTTTGGATTTCCATATTTTTTGGAACATGGGTAGAGATAAGTTGGTGAGGGTGTATCATGTTAGACCATTGATTTGATGCTCATAATATAGGTAAAAGTATTTGCATCTTCTCAGGTTTACAGTATTTATTTATTTATTTTTTTTTTTTTTTTCAATTGAACTGACCATGGCAATCATGATGATCTTCTCTCCTCAAACTTGTATTTTTTTAACCTGATTTCATAGTGATGAGTAAAAAGGATTATAAACATTTTTCATTTACCTTTGACCTATATTTACTCTCATTTCATAACTTTGGTCTTATTGTTTTTTTCACAAGCACATTTTCAATTGTATCAAGGAATATCTCTAATACAAAAAAAAGGTGCAGAGTTTAAAGTATTAAAATGCTCTTGTTCCTTCTGTAATGCCGATGAAAGGTGTGGCCTCGAATAGATATTTATTCAGTTTGAATGCACAATAACTATGAAATATCATGCTTCTTGCATTATTTTCTTCAGGATGTCATAGCTATAAAGAAAAATGAGTATCTTTGTCAGAACCACATACATTATATAAAAACTAAAACATAATTTTGGGATTGTAAAGAAAAGTATTTGTGATTCATCAGCTTATGTAAATAGCTTAGAGGAAAAAAGTCATGTCTTTTTTTCTTTCTTTTTTTTCTTGACTCTCTGGGTGTTACGTGTGAAAGATTGCCTGGTGTTGTTATTTTATCTCTTGCCCTGAATAAAATGAGTCAGTGAAATTGGCACAAGAGAAGACTTTAGTTTTAATAGTGATAGACACGCATTTAGAACAAATAGCGAGATATGCTGGTCACCCTGTTTACAGCAAGAGAACTTTGGCAGGGATGCTGAATAATGCATTGTCATTATTTTCAGCCCATAAGTTTGCCTGATGTTCCCAAGGTTATTTGGATGTGTAATATTGCCTTTTACTTACTCTCATATTGACTTAAGCTTTCTTAGGGTTATAAGAAAATGCACAGCCATTAGCAAGGTGTTATTTAAGAGAAATCGATGCTTGGTTTATGTACATGATTAAATTCAAATGTTTTTTCCTTAATGTGTGCTTTATTTTGTGAGTAGGCCTAATTAGAATAATTTCATTATAACATTCAATCTTTATTGCAATAGATATATAATATATTATATATATATATTATATATATATATATATATATATATATATATAATATATATATATAATATATTAATATATATATATATATATATATATATATATATATATATATATATATATATATATATATATACATATATTATATATATATATATATATATATATATATATATATATTATATATATATATATATATAATATATATTATATATATATTATATATATATATATATATATATATATATATATATATATATATATATATACACACATATGTACATATATTTATACATATACATATATATATAAGTATATCTATGTGTGAGTGTGTGTGTGAGTGCTTACATATATGTATATATATTATATGTATATATAAATTTATATGTAGATATAGATATAGATATATACATATATATATATATATATATATATATATATATATATATATGAATGGAAAAACACTCTTCTCTGTTGATACTATGGTAGAAAAACCCACAATGCACAAACTAAATTTGTTGAAGAAAGTGAGACAACAGTTTCGGAATCGTCCTCAATTCTATCTTCGGGTCTGAGGAGGCAAGGGAGAGGAAGCGGTATAAGAGGGAAAGGAGGAGAAGCACTCGGGAAACACGGGGCAGGTGAGGACAGGAGAACGGAAGCTGAGAACTGACCCGACTTCCCCTCGCTTCCGTGCTCCTGTCTTCACCTGCCCCGTGTTTCCCGAGTGCTTCTCCTCCCTTCCCTCTTATACTGCTTCCTCTCCCTTTCCTCCTCAGACCTGAAGATGGAATCGAGGACGATTCCGAAACTGTTGTCTCACTTTCTTCAATAAATTTAGTTTGTGCATTGTGGATTTTTCTACCATATATATATTTATATGTGTGTGTGTATGTGTAAATGTATATGTATATGCATATGTATATGTATATTTGTTTCTATTCACTCATTTATTTTCTACACAATTATTTTCTTTTGTCTTTTTTGTCATGCAATATTTTGATTCTCATTTTTTATTTCACAGGTTCTTGAATGTTTATAAATCACCTGAAAAAAGTCCAATGTAACAGAGGTGTGAGTAATGCAGATTCTCTAAACTGTAAGTAAGTAATGAATATGTTAAGTCATCTCCTTTGCTTCTTGGAATAAAGACTGATTTTAGAAAATATTTATAATCAAAAGTGTGTGTGTGTGTGTGTGTGTGTGTGTGTGTGTGTTGTGTGTGTGTGTGTGTGTGTGTGTGTGTGTGTGTGTGTGTTGTGTGTGTGTGTGTGTGTTGTGTGTGTGTGTGTGTGTGTGTGTGTGTGTGTGTGTGGTGTGTGTCTGTCTGTCTGTCTAAAGTTAATCCTTGGAATTTAGACAAAAAAAAATCATATGGATGTGTGGCTAGTCTCTTTCTGTAACCTAAATTGTTTCTCTAAAGATAAAAGGCTAAGAACAGAGGTACATAAGGCTGAAAGAATAGGGAATGTATTAGATACATATCCTCATTGCATTAGCCAGTTTCTGATATTGATTCTTTGACTGAAAAATCCATGATAAGGAAGGAATGTTTTGCTTCAAAAAGTATATAACGTTATAGGAGTTCCATTTTTGAATTTTCCTAGAATTTTCTACCTAACTTGCAAATTAATGTTCTTTCATGATTCATTCTCTCTCTCTCTCTCTCTCTCTCTCTCTCTCTCTCTCTCTCTCTCTCTCTCTCTCTCTCTCTCTCTCTCTCTCTCTCTCTCTCTCTCTCTCTCTCTCTCTCTCTCTCCTCTCTTCTCTTCTCTCTCTCTCTCTCTCTTTTCACTCTCTCTCCCCCTTTCCACCTCTGCTTCAAAATGTATATAACATTATAGGAGCTCCATTTTTGAATTTTCATAGAATAATCTTCCTAACTTGCAAATTAATGTTTGTTGATAATCTCTCTCTCTTCCTCTCTCTCCCCCTCTCTCTTCCTCACTCTCTCTCTCCTTTCCCTCTCTCCCCTCTCCTTCTCTCCCCTCTTCTCCTCTCCCACTCCCACTTTCTTTTCTCTCTCTCTCTCTCTCTCTCTCTCTCTCCTCTTCTCTTCTCTCTCTCTCTCTCTCTCTCTCTCTCTCTCTCTCTCTCTTCTCTCTCTCTCTCTCTCTCTCTCTCTCTCTCTCCTCTCTCTCTCCACTCTCTCTCTCTCTCTCTCTCTCCACCTCTCTCTCTCTTCTCTCCACCTCTCTTCTCTTCTCTCTCTCTCTCTCTCTCTCTTCTCTCTCTCTCTCTCTCTCTCTCTCTCTCTCTCTCTCTCTTCTCTCTCTCTTCTCTCTCTCTCTCTCTCTCTCTCTCTCTCTTCTCTCTCTCTCTCTCTCCACCTCTCTCTCTCTCTCTCTCTCTCTCTCTCTCTCTCTCTCTCTCTCTCTTCTCTCTCTCTCTCTCTCTCTCTCTCTCTCTCTCTCTCTCTCTCTCTCTCTCTCTCTCTCTCTCTCTCTTCTCTCTCTCTCTCTCTCTCTCTTTCTCTCTCTCTTCTCCACCTCTCTCTCTCTCTTCTTCCCTCCACCTCTCTCTCTCTCTCTTCCCCTCTCTCCTCTCTCTCCCTCCACCTCTCTCTCCTCTCTCTTCCCCTCTCTCTCTCTCTCTCTTCCCCTCCACCTCTCTCTCTCTCTCTTGCAGTTTGTCCAGATTAATTCTTTGATCTTTTCCAGGAAAGGTTGGATGATCCGGGGATGGCTTTGATCTTCAGCTTAGTGGTAATTTTGGCTGTCAGCTCCTTCACAGATTCAAAAAATGGGACTTTGGACCCATCCTCCTCATCAAAGGTCCAGTCTCCATATGTCACAGAAGTCACTCAGGATGAGCCCTCCACCACCTTTTTTACAAACATCACAGACACTTCTGCAGCTGGAAGCACATCCCAGATTCCAGCCACTTCCTCTCCAGTTGTCAGTGCAACACCTACCAGTGATGGCACTTCAACAGCATCCATTGCACCTTCATCACCAAATGTAACAGATTCAACAACATCTGCAACCACAAATATGTCAACAGCTCGGCCAACTTCGTCACCATCAACAACCTCTCCAGCCCCCCAAACCACATCCACTCCAACAAAACCAAGTCCGACCACACCTGCCACCAAAACAACATCAGCATTAACGGCATCAGTCACTCCTTCGTCGTCCCCTGATGTGACATCTACGCCGTTGAAGTCGACCACAGGGATTCCCCCAACCCCCATCACGACCACCACTCAGCCCAGCACCACTACAGTGCCTCCTGAACCTCCCCACCCAGGGCTGTCGGTTGCTCTGTCCCTCTTCATCTTACTAGCTGTGATATTAATTATTGGTGCAGTGAGTATGATTCATTTTTGTTTGTAATAATATTACTTGTGTTGTGCAGCTGAACCGTTCTCATCTTTGCTGAAAAAGTACAGTTTATGGGAGAGCATTAAAAAAAAAAAACAATGTGGTAATAAGCAAGTTTTTCTCTGCATTATAGAAGAAAAAAAGAAGAAAACAACAAATATATAAAAAGACTTGACAATCACATTATTTCCTAATTGCTACCCAATGTCAAGTCCCAGTGACTGATATCTGTCAGCCAGTCTGATTCCTTGCAAGTGAACTGTCCTAGGAATTTTTGTTTAAATTGATGTAGTTTTCTCCTGCCACAGTCTAAAGACAGTCAGCTTCCCAAACACTCCTTGCAGCTGAGGATAATGCCTTTTCTCTTTTGTGCTCCTGCATGCTTGTTTCTGTTGCAGCCAGTGGCTGAGAGTGGTTCAACCATGGTGAGTCACCTATTTGTGTAGAAGGACCTTTAGTCTGTGGGCATACATGGTTTTGTAGGATGTGAACCTGTAAGCCTACAATCAAGGGGCTGTATTACCTCAGTGGCTGCAGTTTAGACCAAACAAGCAGACGTTTAGTTAGCACACAGTCTGTATGGTATGAATACTTACCACCCAAAAGTTGGGTCCAGTTTGCCATGATATGATTAGATGTCATCTAGTGTGTGTGGGATAGATATGTGTTTGGGATTTAGTGTGGAGTTCAGCAATGATATTGTTGTGTCATGGCAAAGGAAGAGAATACATATTACTTTTTATTTATTTTTTTAAAAAAGGTTATTTTATCCCTTTGTGCAGGTAATAAGTTAAAAAGCTTCCAGTGTAATGCTGTATCATGATATGAATTACACTAATCTGTTGTAACCAATGGTATAACATCAATAATTAATCACATAAAATGTTTAAAGTTAAATGAAATAAGGTCATCCTATACTCATTATCCATCAACCTGTTTCATCTGGGTTAAAATCTGGGCATTAGGCTTATTTGAGTGGTGACTCTCCCAGGTGTGTGGCATAGGCCCACAGGAACACTCATGAGTAGTTTCAAGACTTTTTTCCTCTTTGAAGTGCTTTTAGCCCTCTTTCATTATTGGTGCATGGAACCCAAATATTGATAACATTTAAAACAGTATTTGTGACATGTTCCCATCTAAATTCAGTAGCCATCTCCTTTTACATGCAGAAATCAATGTTAACTCATTGGATCTGGATGATTCACTGCCCAAAATACTGGGATTCAGCTTCCTTTATCAGCCACTGTGAACGGTGTGCGGCTTCTAGGCAGGGTACACGCGAACGCTTGTGTGCAGTGACAAGACTGTGCCTACTCTTTGCGATGTTACTTGCTCTTTGTCTGCATAAGTATTTTAAGCATTTTGCCATTTTCCAATATCCATGTTTGTCATATGATTTTCTTTATCTAGATGGTAATAGACTGTTTTCCTTGCACAGACTACATTATATCTCTAGGTTGTCCATAACTCATTGCAATAATGATTGCAATAAGTAACAATTACTATTTGTGTAAGTAGAAAAAAAATTGTAATATTAATTTTTTTTGTAATGTGGCTTCCCCCCCCCTCCCTTGGGTAATATCCAATTTTCTGTAATACAACCTGTGGCACTGGTAACGGTGGCCATGAAGAGGATCCTGAGCATGGAATTATTGTCCTTCCTTGCGCCAACGCTCTTTCAGTTATGGCTTACTGACATTACATTCGATGCTCGCTTATCAGTGGAAATAATGCAAAAGGCCTTTTATAAATGCCAAATGAGTCTAATCACTCTCCAAGAGCTTTGTGTACTCATGGCAAATCTTTTTTTTTCACCCTTACCTTCTCCCGATATGCCAGAACAGCAAGTTCGTGTCACCCTGGACCACATCCAAATTTTCCCATGACGGCATGTTCACGTCACATTCCCCTCAAGCCAAATTTAATCTTGGTGTGATGGTCACGTCATCCACATCTTATTGGTTAAATGGAGCAATGCTGATAATCAAAATGGATATTATTGGTTAGGTAGCAAGTCCAGTACTTTATATAACTGTGAATATAAACAAAAAATAGTTACAGTAAGTAAATGTTATAAAAGGTGTGTAAGAGTGTCATTAGTATATCTTTGAATATGTAGAGAGAAAAATATTTTAGAGTGATTATAA